GGCATTTTCTTGGAGTTGATATTTTGCTAGGGCTATTTTGTCAATGTCATTACAATCTAGCAGATTGAATATCTTCTCTATCCCGTCGATCCACGATTCTGCCTCTTCAGGATTTCTAGTTCTAGCGAACCGTGGTGGTTTCAGCTTCAAAAATTGCTCGATCAGACTTTGCAAACGACGTTCGCCATTTCCCGAGCTAGAGGCAACTCGTTGTAATTCCTGCTTCTTCACTAGGCTTCCGATATTGGCAAGCACTTGAAGGATTCCTTCCAACTGAGGATCCTTTTCTGCGTTGCTAACCGAACTCATCTTGCAATACCTACACGTATTGCTTAACTTAGCCATTAACTAATGAGTAACAAAAGTTACTCGGAGCACAAAATCAATCAAGAGCAAGCACATGGACTTGATTTTCTACACTCGTGTGGTGTAAATTAAGTCTACTACCCCAAATTCTAAGCGCACCTTGTCACTCCATGGGTAAAACCTGCTGTAATACCAAACAGACTGTGACGCCCCACGAACATCACGCGCGACACGTGTCATTTAATATTATTAATAATTTGGCAAGCGGAAGTTAAAGTCTGAACAAGTATTAAACATGAATACCACACAAGTTTAGTAAAAAAATACTTTTGCTTCTTATTTCTAACCCTTGTCAGATTTACAAGCCCAGACACAACATCAAATAAGTACAAAAACAAAAGTCTGGGTCGGTCGTGATTGCCTATCTCCATACTAGATTATACTCCAAAAGTCTGTCTAACCAAAAGTCTGATGAAGTCATGGATCGATAACTTCGCCCTCCGCTACGGAACCACCATCATCTATGTCGAAGCCCTTCAACGGGCCAACTAACTCTCCGTCGAGATTAGAGTACCAAGCAACGAACCGATAAGGAACCCACTAAATAAAACCCACATCAACCCAGACAATAACGTTACACTTAGTATATACTGCTTCAGACTCAGGCACAAACACATTTTCATAGACAGCTTCATGATATATAGAAACTCCAAAACGTAGAAGCTGAGGAACATCCATCCTACATGTCTGAAAAATAATGAGATAAGCCGAGGCCCAGTAAATGAAATCTCTAGTTTTAAGTTAAGAAAATCAGCTTACCACTTCACCTGACATAAACAACATGCATGCATAACAAACAGTATGCATAGAACTTGAATGCATGTTATACATTTTCCGTCTGGATGTGCCACAAAATCTTAGCAACTCAACATTTCACAATACTTTCACACAAACGCAAGCATATGATGCAAAACATTCATGCTCATGCCTTAAGTTCATTACTTCATCCTCTCGAACACTCCCGGGACATCCCAACTCCGGGGCATCCCGGAACACCCTCTGGGGCATCCCGACCAATGGGGCATCTTGACTCCCGAGGCATCCTAAAACACTCCCAGAGGCATCTCGACACACGGGGCATCATCACACACCACTATATGGGCGACGGAATTTATATTATTCTCATAGAAGCCATGACAACCAAGTATTTGCATTTATATACTCACCTGCTTTACATCACGTGTCCTTTCAAGTATTAAAATACATCATTCAAGCAAATAAGTACGAAGCAATGCAGGCTCAGACTCAAAAGGCTAAAGTCTACTCAAGTTCAGAAAGTACACATATCCAGATTTTGAGATAAAACTCCCTCGGTTTAGAAAATATATTTATTCAGACTTTGAAAATAAAGTCTACTCGGGTTCAGAAATACGTACGTTCAGACTTTGAAAATAAAGTCTATTCGGATTCAGAAATAAATACGTTCAGATTTTGAAAATAAAGTCTACTCGGGTTCAGAAATAAATACGTTCTGACTTTGCAAATAAAGTATGTGCAGTTTTAAAAGTAGACATGTCCAGATTCTGACCGTAAAGTCTACGTAGTTTTAAAAATAACCAGAACCAGAATTTGAGGCAAAAATCTGCTCAGCTCAAAAGTAAGCAGAATCAGAATTTAAGGTTAAAAGCTCAGAAGTAAACAGAATCAGAATTTGAATATAAAATCTATTCAACTTAGAAGTAAAATTGAATCAGAATTTGAGGTTAAAATTTGTTCAGCTCAGAAGTAAACAGAATCATCATTTACACTTACCTAATATACTCCACTTTGAGTAAAACGATTTTCTACCCTTTTAAAGATACATAAAACCAACAAGAAGAATTCAACAATTATCTCAAAGATAACATTTACACGTTCAGACTTGACCATTATACTTACCGATTTTCAATACACTTTAAGGAAACAAAACACATCCATTCGAACATGTACAGAACCAGCAAAGCATATCCAACCATCACCATATCTTCACTATTATCACACATCATAATAGCATTTCTCAAAATAGCATTTCTCAAGCAACCAAGTTAAAAAGTGTCAAGTAGATTTAACTAGCTTAACTCTAGAGTCTTTACTTACCTTATGCAAAAATCTGAACACCCAAAGGTTAAAACTCTTCCATAGATTTTGGATCGGGTGATGGTGAAAGTAGAAAGTGAAGAAGGGTGTTACAGTTTGAGGAAAAAATTTCCTTCGGTGTTTACCCAGATAAAATGAGACAGAGGGGTAGACGTTGAGATGGATAAATACATTGCACTCACAGGTGGCACCTCCTCTTTCCATCACGGACAGAGGGGTAGACGTTGAGGTGGATAAATACATTGCACTCACAGGTGGCACCTCCTCTTTCCATCATGGCCAGGTATAAGAAATCAAGGGCTTAATATGAAGGAGTAGTGGCCAAGGAAAATGATTTCGTAGGCTAGGTGTCTAACTAGAACAGAAGTTGGCTTAAGGGGACAAGTGGCATGTGGCCAAGTTTGCGCCTTCAAGGGCTACGTGAGAAGAAGAGTCCTGAAGAGATATTTTGTGAGAATATCTTCCCCCCCCCCCCCCCCCCCACCCCCTAACGGCAAATTAGCAAATAATAAAATGGTTAACACTACTTAACCAAAAATTAGCCAATAATATTACCCACTAATGGTAAATTAATTTATACCGCACTACTACCAACGTACACAACAACGTTTAAAATTTTTAAAACACGTCGAGCTCGGAACGATTACATTCCCAAATCCGCGCCTCGCAATTTATGGTCCAACAACGATTTCTACGCGTTCGCACGAATACTAACTTAAATAATACTTAGCTTTATTATCTAATTATCATTTTCGAACATGGAAAACTTCTAACTTTACATACATATTATTACGAAATTTCCAACGTTACAATGATGCCTTCAGTTGATCATCAATCGCCATCTTAAGAGATGGAGCTATCTGATGAAAGGGAAAGAAACGCGAAAACAGGACAAAAGGTTCATTCGGAAATTGTGGAATTAGAATGCTGTCTCGGCAGAACTAAAGCTAAAGTGTCAAACTTTATACCTGTCTCCTCCAACGGAATCGCTTGCATATGACTCGTCACACACATTTATAAGACATGAAAAACATATAAACTCAAAACCAAAAAGAGGAAAAACACATGTCCATTCCCTTACGCAATTCGAACACCTCCCGACATAATCTGTTGTATTCCAGAAAAGGGGATCCTCTCAATCTTTCAAAGGGTCCAGACAAACAAAGATCATTCCTGGAGTGACAAAAACATGTCCTCCGAAAGCACCCAAATTGGTCTCTTTTTTTTTTCTTTTTTACAAAGTGTGGAGGTCGAGAATTTCAACAAAAAAAAACTTGGGTATGGATTAGGCACAGAGCATACAAACTCCATACTCTTACATCATCAAAAGCAAACAATCTCTCCTATCAAGATTTAGCTAGCCTTTTACCATTCTTTTAAGATAAGTGCACGTAGCTCAACGTGGATTAGTGATAGCGGGAAATCATTTTCGTGTACCGCTTGCCCGTCTCTTACTGTATGTAAAATTTTGTGAGATCGTTATCAGTTGATTTAAATATCAAATGAAGACGTGTTTCAACATTTGAATGTTTTTGTAATATAATTGAAAGGACCAATAAAGAATATGAAAAGATTTAAAGTTAATTTCTTCCGCTTCGATAAATGCATGATTTAATATTTTGTTAGTGTTTCACCAGAATTCGACTCCAAGACAAAATACGTTTTACCGAAAGTATTTATTCGGTTTTTATTAGAGGAGATAGTTTCTGTGGCAATACTGGACATGAAATATCACAAGTAGACATGAGAATCGATAACTTCACTTTAAACGAAACCGAACGTACACAAATTATGCCGGATTTGAATCGACGACAAATCCTGAAAGCGTAAAAATACAATGCCGGAATTTAATTAGCGACGAGACACCCCGGAACTACAACAAGGATATAAGTCGAAATTTAATCAACGATGCGGATCTGGAAATTATAGCTAAAAAACATACCGGATTTAATCGAAGACGCAAATTTGGAAACTATAACCCGTAGTGCAGGAATTGAAAGATAGCATGTTTATTTGTTTGTGCGCGGTGGGCCTTTGAAGAGTGCGATGTGGTTATTTAAAGCCTATAATCGACGACTATCAACGGAGGTTACAAACGAAGTTTACAAAATGGGGTTATTAACAGAGGTTACAAATGGTTAAATGGACATTTACATTGACTCCGCTGCCTTAACAGTTTCTTCTACTCCATTATCTTAATAGTGGCTTTATTCCACTACATTGACAGATAATTTTTTACAGTTGCATCCAAAATTGTTGACTCCATTGTTGACTCCACTTTTTGTTGATTCCTTTAAGCTGTCGATTTATCAAGTTGTCGATAATTTTGTTCATAAATTACCATACTCCGCTCTCATCAATTAAGTTTATCACATGTCAATAATAACTAAAAATTGGTCATTTTTTGGTGTAAACAGTTATAAAAGTTACCGGGTTCATTTTTAGGATTGAATTTTCTAACCGTTACAAAAAACTAAAAGAAAAAGAATTTCACAAAAGCAAAAAAGCAAAAGAAGGCGAACACAATCTAAGGGAAGACATGGTGAGAATCCCACACTGTCTGTCCATATGTCCTAGTGGTTTTAAAACCACCATGCTCAACATTGCTTCCTCACCTCCAAGAGCAATAGAACTCAGTCGCAGAAACAGATATGGCGGACACAATACCGTCGCATAACAGCGAGCTCAACAGCACTCACTTCCATCACACAAACCGGTTGATGGCGACGCGCATGAGCTTCTACTGGGGACACAACACCGTCATCCTCTTCGACCACTGGCCCGGGAACCACCCCGCCATGTACGCATTGGCCATCATCTTTGTCTTCTGCCTAGCTTTCCTCATCGAATTCCTCCTTGGCTTCGAGTTCGCCAAGCCAGGTGCGACCAAAGTCGGGGCTTGCCTTTTGAAGACCGGGCTCTACATGGTGCGTATGGCGGTGAGCTACATGGTGATGCTTGCGGTTGTGTCGTACAATGGCGGCATATCCTTGGCCGCAGTCGGTGGGCACGCAGTGGGTTACATGATTTTCCGAAGTAGGGCTGTTCGATGAGCGTGACAACGGGTCGGGTTCGGGTAAGAAACCAGCTGATCTTGCCCATATTTGATTCTTTTAAGCCGTATGGCTGAGATGATGCGATGAATAACCGGCCCCGACTAGTCTGAAGGGCCTTTTGTTGTTAGGGATAGCATGAGATGGAATAAGATATATTTCGAGAAGGTCTACACTATTAATGTAGTTGGTTCTGTTGGCCACACTATTTACCAAATAAATTTTCAGATCATTCTTTTCCTCTTAATTAATTTGGAAGAGGCTAAAATTTTCTTTAGCTCCTGTATTATACCCCCATTGTTTAGCTTTTGATGACGTCGTTATGCATTTCAAGAAAGAGTCAAAATTGAATTTCCTTGTATCATATTGTCGTTGAAAACCAATATGCGGCATGTCGAAAGAGGTGATGACGAAAACCGACGTGCGCCTACGCAAACCAACTTTAGATGATTGGAGAGCAACCGAAATCCCTCCGTGGATCCACGCTCGAATGCAAAACGTGCGAGTAGGGTTTGAATGAAGTGATGGATCTGCGAATCTAAGTGCAACAAAATGTAAATTGCGAGGAAATCGAAGGGCGCTGAAATTAAAATAAATTGAAAGGAATTTACAAAGAAATGAAATGCACAAAGAAGTGAAAATACTCTAGATGGAGTGTTTGTGTGCATCTCTTAGCCGAAACTCCTTTGATAGACTTGCGGCCCATGAAGGGTCTGAGGATATGCACGTGAGACAATCGCTAAAACTGTCCCTCGTTCGTCGCTACATACATCACTTGCACGTTGCACATCATTTCCAAAGATACGAAATCGATACATTTAAATTTGATTTGTAAAGTTAGTGTCGAATTTTCTTCGATTTTTCAATGTGGCCTACTAACCGCAATGTATCCAGTTGCAATTTATTACATCACTCCATATTTTTTTTTCTATTTGCTCTCATTTTTTAGACATTCCAACCCTTTTCTTGGCCATCTACAATATATGCGCGGGGAAGAATGGATCCGTCGCTTCCTTATGACTCCAAATATATGAAATTCTCGTCCAAAATTTTCATATGGCACCATTACAAGGGGTCAACTCCGGCCATTTCCTATCGAAACATCTCTAAATCAGGCCCTTTGACAAGGAATAAAAATACCATAAATGTCATAACTTTCATACGATATTCACTTGAGTGCTATTACTTTTTTTAGCTTACTTGAGTAGCACATCAACGTAAAATCATTCATTTAAGGCTTTTTAAAATTTGAAACTAACAGGACTTTTTACAATAAATTGAAGTCCGACATAGAAAATTTTTCATATGACGTGACAAGAGCTAACAAAAAGATGAGGTTTTTTGGGGAAGACTCACTCTCTCTCACTCCTCCTCCTCTGAAAATCGTAGACTCCATAAAAAAAAATTACAAGCTTCCAATCTCTCTCTCTTTCCCTCTCTCGCTCATTCTCGCTCTGTCTTCTCTTGCTTCGGCTTGGAAGCAGAGTTCAGCAACTTTGATGACGACGACACTCATCCTCTATCGTCCTTTGTCGTTCTCTCTTCTTTGTCTCTGCGCTTGTTCTGAGAGCCCAAGATCCATCGGTGGAGGAATAAAGAAAGGGCAATGGCGACTCTAGAGAGAGAGTGTGAGAGAGAATTTCTTTTTGAGTTAGGGTTCTTCACTAGCAGATTTGGAAGCAGAGTTAGAGTTCTTCACCAACTTTTCCAACTTTGACAGAATTTTGCCCCAAATTTTTTAAATTGGGTTAGGGTCCCTCAAATAGATCTCTCAACGATGTCGTTTCACTTCTCACTAGTTCATCTTGTCGGCAAGTCACAACAGCCGTAATATAAAACGAGACAAGTCGCTGATAATACTCATGTAAACGATTTTCAAAAAATATGACACTCCAGTGAGCGAAAAAAAAAATGACACTTAAATGAGTATCGAACGAAAGAAATAATACTTGTGGGGTTCTTATCCTTCTTTAGCACCAAACTTCCCCAAATATGTCAAAACTTCATCAAAGACTCAACTTGGATTAGTGAATTGTGCACCATGCAAATCATGGCCCAAAGCCTTTTTCATTGGCCCAGTCATGGTGCCCTGGTGCTTGGCCAATCCCTAATTCAATTAATCTACTCACCTTCTTAATTCTGATCCGGTTGTTCCGCTAAGTGAGTATACTAATAAAATCCTAGTATAACTCTTCATCAAAATGAGAAAATCTTACTCAATATTGTGCAGTTGGCCATGCCCACCCATCGACCACCCTCCGGTTGCCGATGATCACCGTCCGGTTGATGCCGTCTCCAGTCATCATTCAACACATACTCTTTGTAAACATCAGCGGTCACATGTATTATGAAGGACCGGTTCGTGCCGTCGGTATCGTTCTGAGCCTTTAGGACCGCATCGTGAATGGTTGTGAAGTCCCCGATCCCATCCTAGCTCACCACCATTGTGGTGCCGACCAATACTGAATGGCACCCGCTCAAGGCAATTAATATAAGAACAAGAATGAGAGGCAAACCGGCCATATTCGAGCTCGTGAATTTAGAAACTGAAAGAACAACAAGTGGAGCATTCTTTCTCTTTTGCCACAGCACGGAGAGTTATCTAAATACGGTGAATAGTGCCGTGAGCTTTACATCTAATTGAGTTGTTTATCTATAAACAATGTGAGTTTGGACTTAATCTAGGTGTGAAAAACATACCAACACTCAAACTGAACCGCGTAAATTTCTAGTATTTTTTATTGTTCCTTATTTATTTCTCTAGTGATTTCGCATTTCCTAAATATAATGGATTATGCTGTAAGCTTTACATTCAATTGGGTTGTTTATTTATAAATACTGTGGTTTTGAGTTTAATTTAGGTGTGGGAAACGTTTGACACTCAAACCGAAGTATCGAACCACGCAAGTCTCTAATATTCTTTACGGTGCCACGTTTACTCAATTTGAATTTTCATTCCCTCGTATTATCTCATTCTCCGAACAAGCGCAAGAGTGTGAGAATATATGAACAAAGCGGAAAAGACAGCAAAGCTAAAGGCGACCTAGTTCCATGGATCGTGTATATATTACATTCGTTAATTAACTCGAAAATGGACAAGTTCCCATCGATATCAGACAACAGCGTCCGGAGAGCGCAATTGCCATGATCAATTGACAACACGTCGAATACAAAGTCCATGACATAAAACAACCCACGCTGAGCCAAAGGACTATTCTTTGTAAACAGAACAAAACTATAGCTGGTTCGTATATGAAAAGGCTACGAGATCGTAATTTACTATGTCTCCTCCCCTTTGTCTTCACCTGCGACTTCTGATTTCTTTTGCTTTGGTGTTTTTTTTTATTATTCTTTTAAATTTTGTGAGCTGGATACATGATTTCTTAATAAAGAACTAGGAAACATATAGTGTTCCTTTTGAGCTCTTTCGTGGGCACTCTTAAATAGCATTAACCCACTTCACATGAGCCATTAAAACATATGAGTTTCATATGATCTAACAATTCACATGAAGTGAGTTAACATAGGTCATAACCCAAGTACCTAAGAATTTTTCCCTTTTCTGAGGTTCAAAATGTTGATCACTCAAAAGTTTCTTTTGAAACTACACAGTTAAATATTCAATGTTTAGAGCAAATTATATCTGTACCCACTAATAGGTAATACTAGACCAAACACTTCATGCTAGCAATCACCATTGCAGTCAAACATCAATCAATACGTATTTTGTTGTCCCTTAGAAATTTTTTTCGTTTTTTTCTTTTTCACGTCGTGGACATACCTCTGACATGTTTCCGAATTATAATACTCAATCTCATCTTTGTTTCAACTGTAATTATAAAGGGTCATAATGAGGATATTCGAAGCGCTTTTTAAGCCTACTAAACGATGAATAATTAACTTTATAAAACAATGATTATGTTTAACACAAAAAATTTAAAAACTATAAAAATAATTAATTATTTGGTTAATGAATGCTCCTAGACACTCCTTAATAAAATCTTATTATAACGATTATGTATGTAAAGTTTTCTTTTTCCTTCTTTATCTTTTGGCGGCTTGAATTTTTAAGAATAATGGTTTGTTTAACGCCCCAATTGCATTATCAAATCAACCACAGATCACTGAAAATTTTACTTTTTCTATATCCACCAAAAAAGCAAGGAATTGAAAGAATCAATGCTTTAAAACTGATCAAGTGACTCGCAATCCTCGTCACCCACAATCCTCTTCATTGGTTATATCTCCTTTATTTTGCATCATCTTTAACTTTAACCAAGCAAACCTTACCAAGCACAAAAGCCACCTCGTTACTTTCTCCTCAGTTCCTAACCACTCTCTCTCTCTCTCTCTCTCTCTCTCTCTCTCTCTCTCTCTCTCTCTCTCTCTCTCTCTCTCTCTCTCTCTCTCTCTCTCTCTCTCTCTAAACTGAGGAAAATGTCTCAAGGCGATCATGGAGGAATGAACATGACTCCTATGACTCCTGGTTCAATGTCGATGACCAACTCATCCTCGAACAACTACGGCGGCATGAACATGAAGATGATGATGCACATGAGTTTCTATTGGGGCAAGGACGCCATCATCCTCTTCTCCAGTTGGCCGGAGCAGCGGTTCGGTATGTACGTGCTAGCTCTCTTCTTCGTCTTCTTCTTGGCCTTGGCAGTAGAGGTTCTGTCCGTCTCTCCCAGCATCAAGACAGGCACGAACCCAGTCGCGGGCGGCGCGACGCTGGCTGCCGTATATGGGTTGAAGATGACCTTGGCCTATATGGTGATGCTCTCCCTCATGTCCTTCAACGTCGGGGTCTTCATCGTGGCAGTGATAGGCCACGCCTTCGGCTGCTTTCTAGTCAAGAGTTGGGCTCTGGCGACGGCGAATAAAGCGGCCGCGGTTAGTTCCTCTGCCACCGGCATTGCTGCTAAAGTTTAAGTGCGGTTGCTTGTCACTTGTCAGTAATTTCTCTCCCCATATGATGTATCAAAAATATTAACCTTGTTGATAATGATGTGCATATAAACTATAAAGACCTTTTCAAGTTAATGGGCAATTTGACTTGAGAAACCATAGCATTACAGGAGTGATTTAACAGGTGAAACTGAAGGAGTTAGTAAATTGCCAAGAGAAATTTAGTTGCTTGTAAGTGCAATAATTTCTGTACAAATCTAGCACCTACTTGAATATTTATCTAGATTCAGAGTCGGAATAACTACCATCTTGTCATGTGAATGCATAAGACGGTTGAAATTGAAAAGTTAAAGAGGATGTGATGGCTTATTTTGATGCCAAACTAAAAATATGGGTTACTCCCTAAATTGAGATACGAGAGTCCTAAAAGTTACCATATATGGGTGTATATATTCCAATTTGCTCGTAGAGAGACTTGAATGTTTATGGTAAGCCGTTAGGACTACGGTGACGGGCTCATACACTGACTATGAACTAAGTATATTTGACTCAAATCGAACATTCTTGTAAAGACAATAGGATCTTTGTGGTAACACCCAAAATGGGTAGTTGTACCCTCTCCGGTCTCCAACCCTTTTTACCTATTCGAGAGAGAGAGAGAGAGAGAGAGAGAGAGAGAGAGAGAGAGAGAGAGAGAGAGAGAGAGAGAGAGAGAGAGAGAGAGAGAGAGAGAGAGAGAGAGCATTTAGGGTTTTATCGTATTCTACAGCGATATGGTCCGATCAGGATGGTGAGTGATCGGAGGACTCAAACAAGATTAAACTTCTAATAGGCTACTGGGATGGCAAAAGAAAATGAACTTAATTACTTACTAAACAAAGGGAAATTGTTGCTAGTTATATTTAAGCGTAACTGGAATTGACTCAAAAAAGACACTTTTTGGTGAAACAATAAAGGTGAGCAAGGGAACTCCATTATTAAAGTGAGAGCAATACGGGAACGAACTACCGCCTCCTAAAAAAGTGATTACCTATAGGTAATCCTACAAAATGTTTAGAACTTTAGGGAAATTTTTCCTAAACATATATAATTCAATTGTTCCACATAATTTACTGCCTGTTAGATATTAACTTTTAAGACCTCCTGAATGAATTTGTATGGAAAGAGAACTTTCTGGCCTCTCATGTCAGTATAACCATAAATTATTCAGCGCATCTTGTAACAATTGATCCAATACTACAGAGCATTGTTTTCGCTCAATATTCGAATCAAATAAATATTGATCGCTTGCTTTGTTTTGAAGAATTTAAGCAAAGTTTGAGTTCGGGATAATTGTCCAAAAAGTCTTAAACCTATTAACTGGTAGCCACTTCAGTCAAAAACTTTTTAATTTGGTCAATTTAGTCCTAAACTTTTTGATGAATTCCCAATGTAGTCATTCTCGCCAATTAAGACCGGAAATTGCTGATATGGATGACAGCCGTCCTGCATGGTACGGTCCACACTAAAGTTGACAATTTTTGCAATTTTTTTAAAAAATTTCTAAATACTTCAATTTTTTTATTTTTTCAGTTCTTTTCTATTATATCTTTTTTCCACTGCTAATCTTCCCAAGTGGAGGTTAGGGGTGATCGGTTCCTGGTCCGATCCGGTTCCAAGGTGGAACCGGGAACCGGGAACCGGACCGAGAGAACCAGTTCCCAACTTTGGGAACCGCGGACCGGACCGGTTGGTTCTAGGACCGGGAACCGGATTGGACCGTCGATCCGGTCCCGTCCAATGGAACCGGTCACTTAGAGTTTAGTTTTTTTTTTTTTTTTTGGTTAAACACTTAAGGTTTGGTTCACATTTTACTAATTTTTGTTAATGAATTTATGTCAATGAAGTTCACTTAGGGTTTAATTCGCATTTTACTAATTTTTATCAATGAATTTATGATAATGAAGTTCACTTAGAGTTTAGTTCACATTTTATTAATTTTTTTAAAAAAACAACAAATATATATATTAAATAGTCGGTCCGGTCCGGTCCGGTTCCCCCTTGGAACCGGGAACCGGACTGCCCGGAAACCGGTTCCGCTTTTAGGAACCGGGAACCGAACCGATAATCTGAGAACCGGACCAAACCCGTCGGTCCGATCCGGTCCCGGTTTGGGCAGTCCAAGTTGCTCACCCCTAGTGGAGGTTGCTGAGGCCTCGGTCCCATCAACCCTTCCGGAAAGGTGAATAGTATGAAAAGAAAGAAAAAAAAAAGAAAAACTCAGAAAATTTGAAATTAAAAATTGCAAAAATCGTCCATGCCAGAGCCGGCCGCGGTACCACGTAGGACAGTCGAAACTGATTGGACCATCACTTCAGTGATATTCGATCAAAATTGGCCAGAATGATTATATTATAAAATTAAAATGTTTGGAACTAAATTAATCAAATTGAAAAATTTAGAACTGAATTGAACGACATACAATAAGTACATAACTTTTTGAATAATTTTATGCGTATAGATTAAACAATTTGATGTAGTTTGAAATTCGAAACAAAATTAAATTGAATTGATTGATAATGAATGATTATTATCTAGGGTTGTTGCCGCCGCCCCCGCCGCCATTACCTTTCAACACCACTTCATTTTCAATTATTTCACTTCTTTTGGCCAGTACCAGACCACCACTTCACTTCACCATCAGACCATCAAGATGCATCGCCGCAGGCGCAGCCGCCCCTGGTTTAATATTCTACCACCACCAATTGCGATCATGCATCAAAAATATTAAGCATGTCTTGTAAAATAAAGTAGGTAACGGGCCGCCCCTGTTTTATTATTCTACCACCCCGAATTTCGATCGTGCATCGAAAATATCAAAGCATGTCTCGTAAAATAAAGTAATTAGCGGGTTTTTCTACTTAAATTAATCAATTAAGTTGCATATATATAGGCAGAGGCTATAAACAAACTCAATATATTAAATAACCGAGAATTTAAAATTTTCTATCCTCTTTGTCTATTTTAGGACGAAAAGCAGGCAAGGCCTCCAAGTTTTGAAGCCGAGCTATTCAACCTTCTTTAACACGATCCTGTAAAACGCTCTTTTTGAGGCTAGGCTTAAGGCCGACTAATTAGGGGGCGTTTGGCAAGTTGTCAAATAGTAAAAATTTCTGTTCTTTTGTTTCCAGAATCAGTTTGAGAACAGAAATCCGTTTGTTAAATTTTTTGTGCCCGGGCACAAATTTGCAAAAAATTGTTCCTAGAATCAGTTTTGGAACAGAATCAAGAAGCAAAAAAAAGTAGCTTCTTGATTCTGGAACAATTTTTCCATTTCTGATTCTTCTTCATTTTCTTCTTCCTTTTTTATTAGTTCTTTGTCTTCTTCCCGGTCTGCCACCGGCCCGCGGCCGGTGACCGGCCACCAGCGACCAGCCAGGGCCGGCGAGGTCGGCCTCGCCCAGATCTGGCAAGGCCAACCTCGCCATCGCCACCTCCGGCAACGGCGAGGTTGAGCCTCGCCCGGCCATGGCGAGGGCCGCGACGCCCTCGCCGGCCCTAGCCTGTGGCCGGTCGCCGGTGCCGACAACCGGTCATGGCCAAGGAAAGGAAGGAAAAAAAAGAAATAAATATCAAAAAATTTAAATTATTATTAAAATATTATTAATAAAAAGAAATTTTGTGTAGTTACCAAACGCATTTCTGTTCTTTTTTTATTTTAAGAATAGAAATTTTGGGCAGTTACCAAACGCTTTCAAATACTTAGAAATTGTTTCCGGACACAGAATCAAAAAGAATCATTTCTGTGCAGAAATAATTTTCGGGCACAAAATCATTGTCATGCATATTCTTATCATTATTGAAGGATGGGGGAACTTCGAGGGCAGCTGTATTCTTCGAGAAAAGTCAAGAAAGGAAAGAAAGGCCCGTAAGCTGCTACATACTTCAAGAAGAGAGTATCCGAGGACAAAAGGCCAATAACAGTCCTCTTCAAGATTCTGACACGATTTTGTAGAACACTCTTTTCAGGCTAGTCTTAAGGCCAACTACTTATTATTATTGAAGGGCGGGGGAACTTCTTCAGGAAGCTGTCTTCTTCGTGAAAACTCAAGAAAGGAAAGAAAGGCCCGTAAGCTTCTACATACTTCAAGAATAGAGTATCCGAGGTCAGAAGGCCAACAATAGCCCTCTTCAAAATACTGAGTAGGGCAAGTTGGCTCGACATGATTGTAGCATCCCTTCAAATCTCGGGGATTTCAGAATTGGGGTTTTAAATAAAAAGCCGATTCATATGGTGACAAATAGAAGCGCAATTAAAATTCGCCAAGGAGAGCTATAATGTCCTAAAGTTCTTCGTAATGTTATAAAGTTTGCTCATCTCTTTGTGTAGTTTCATAATGTTCCTCAGCAACGATTCGAGGTTAGAACATAGTTGACGTTGAATTTAAAGGATTTACTATTGGATAGATACCTTTAACAACTAATCCTCTTGATAGTATGGTCGTAGCATTTAAATGTGCAAATGGTGTGGCAGGTGAAGGGTCAGTTAAATAGCGAATGGTCTTATCAATACACAAATGTATAACTCCCCAAGAATATATCATTTCTTGTTACAGGGCTTGCAAAGGAGTTGTGGATATTGTTGTACGAACATCAGATGCGAGATCTAATGGCTATAGACCTTCTAAAAAAAAGTGTGTAGAAATCAAAACGAAAGAGATTTTAAGAGAAATAAACAATTCAATGATCGGATCAAAAAATATTAGTTTGGTTTGAGAGAAAGTACCAGTATTTGTCTTGGTAAATGGGTCGCATGTGCTATCCCATTGGCCACACTTCTTTTTTTTTTGGTCAAACATTGGCCACACTTCGTTGCTATGTTCCTCACCAAATCACGAGACATTCTTGCATGCTTCGGGTGCAATGATTCCAATTACACAGCCACCCTTGGATCCACTCGTGAATCCCTTCTAATCCAAGTGTGTATTTCGATCCAAAAAAAGTCCAAGTGTGTATAGGAACTAGCTCACTTTTACCCGTAGCAGGCAAGCTTTCTTCCAAAAACTCATATAAAGAAGGAAAAATAACACAAACGGTCGCTGAAATTTGACCCAATGTGTAATATCAATCATGAAATTTTAATTTGATTAA